TTCCTTCCTTCCTTCCTTCCTTCCTTCCTTCCTTCCTTCCTTCCTTCCTTTCCTTCCTTCCTCCTCTCCATCCATCCAACATTTATGACGTACTTGCTACATGCCAGGCCCTGGGTAAGAGATTAACACTACACATTTTAGGTCCAACTCTCCCATGGGATAACAGAGAAACACAATTCTTGAAGATAAGAGAAAAGAAATAATAGTTTCTTGGTCATTGGCTGAGATCCAGTGAAAAACAAATCTCTAGTGAAAGATGCCATTTATGTCATAAGGCCACCAGGAGGAGTTGTTGGTTCAGAATTTTCCACATAGGATTATGAGATGTGTCTTGCTGCTTTCTCGTGATGTTGAGGGACCTGTAGACATGTTCCTATTGTGTTTTTTTGTGTGTGTATGAGGGCTGGGGGAGCGGAGGGGAGGGGAGGGAAGGGGAAAGGAGAGGAGAGGAGAGGAGAGAGAAGCAGTCTGGTATTTTGTTTAGTGCAAAGGAAAAAATATTGACGATGGTTACTACAAAGAAAAATGGTACAAATGGAAACCATTTTTTCTGCATATAATTGGTATCATTGACTATGGAGGAAGGTATATGTTGCAGAGCAGGTTTTAAAGTCAGGTTGCATGGATTTGAGACCTGGCTTAGTAAGTAAATGTCTATTAAATTGTTCAGATTCTCTCAGCCTCAGTTTCTTCACTGGTAAAATGAATATTATAATGATATGTTCCTCTTAGGGTTGTTATGAAGATGAAATAAGGTAATTCATGTAAATTGCTTAGTATGTATCTGATGTATAGTAAATGCTCAATATACAGGAGCCTAAATTATTATTATGATGAATTTGAACCATCCATAAAATAAAATTTTTATTTTAAGCATTTTTGATCAATGTTAGTAGACATTTAATAAATAATACTATATTACTGTTAGTCCCATTACTGATACAATTAGTTCCATTACTGGTCTTAAAATGAGCAGAATAATATTGCAGAAAGAGCACTCAGGAAATTCTAACACACCACTGTCAATAATTTGCTGTGAAATGTTCCTGGACTCGAGTTTCCTCATCTCTGAAATTCAGTCCCTTCCAGCTCTTACGGCCTTTAGTTTTATATAGTCTCCCAGAGTATATGGCTCCAGCACTTTATCAGTGTGCACATATATGGCATCACCTGTTATCTACTCTAGGATACTGCTAGATAATGATTATGATCCTAGATTTGGGTGTAGTTGGAAAGGCCAACAGGAGTCCAACACTCCTTCCCTTCCTCAGCTCACGTGAAGCCATCTGCAGAAACTGTCTCTGATTAGGAACTCACGGGACCTCACGCAGGGCTACAAAGGTTATGCATTGATCAGATTTAGGGGGAATAATTCACAGAAAATGTAAATGGTGATCCCCCAAAGTCCGACAACATAACAGCCCTAGTTAATGTTTCTTAGCCTCATAGCCTGGAATCTTTGTTCTA